AAAAAAAAAAAAACTTGGTACATAAAAGAATAAGGAGATTTGCGGTTCCCAACGTTTACTTTTGGCAAAAACCCTTCTTTAATCTCCCAAATTTACCTCAAAATAGTATTTTAACCCTTAAACTAAAAATAAAATAAATAAACCCTCAAACTCTACCAATGATATAAATAAGCTCTTCTCACTCCCTTCTTACAAATGAGCCAAACGGTACTTCATGTTTAATATTATCTTGAAAGCATGAATACCATGAATGAGAAGAACTTATTTGTATAATTAGTGGAATTAGGGGGCTTATTTTCTTTATTTTTAGTTTAGGAGTTTAAATGCTATTTTGGGATAAGTTTGAGGGCTTAAGAAGGGTTTTTGCCGGTTACTCCTCTGTGGCTCTATCCCATTAAACGTAAGGCGCGTGGCCAAATGAAGGGCAAGTGTCTGTTGGAGAGTGCAAGTGACGACTGCCCTTAGCACTACTCAATAAAAAAATAGTTTAAAATTCAAATCTTACTTTTCACATGTAAAATAATAGTTTAAATTTTAAAATTTAAAATTGGGTAGTAGGCATATATGACAAAAACTTCACCGCCTTTAATAAATTCCTGCCGTATGAAGATAATAGTATTTAATAATTTTTTTACATTAAATAATAAAAAAAAACTCCTTAATACAGATTTTTTTATTCAAAAAAATTAAATTTTTTATATCGAGATTAACAAATTCTTGCTATTACTCTCTCTTTAACTATAATCACAAAGTGAATTCTTATAAAAAAAATAAAAAAATTCACAAAGCGATTCAGTTTTAACCGGAACTTTCTCCTCCACTCAGCTACGGTTCGAACGCGGTTCCGATGCCGGCCGTCTCCTTCCCTTGTTACTTCACTGGCTTTCTCTCTACCGTCCACGTTTGTTTATAAAAGACGCTCTTTATGTACCAAAAAAAGACGCTCTTTCCTGTCCAGCTGTCCTTATCCACTTAACTTCCTCAAACAACCTATCAAACCATGCTTACCCGGCATCTGTTTCCCTCCTTCCTCTTCCTCCTCCTCCTCCTCCTTCTCGTATTCCCTCTGGTTCACAGCCGCTTCGTCTCCACCTCGGATCTCGTCTCCGATGGAGTCCATCACCGGACTGGCTCGCCTTTCCTTCTCCTTAATCCATTTGCTGCGGAGGAGTCGTCCTGTGATCAGACCTACGGATTCATGCCGTGCACCACCACCGCACTCGGTAATCTCTTCTTAATACTCGTTTATGGATACCTCATGTACTTGGCCGCCACCTACTTATCCAATGGGAGTGAGCTGCTGCTGCAGATTCTCGGTCCTGGTATCATCGGAGGCCTTTTCCTTCCCATACTCGGAGCTCTCCCCGACGCCTTGCTCATTCTCGGTACTTAAAATTCGATTCATTTTCCTTTTTTTCTTAAAAAATTATATTATTGGATCTTGCGCTTGCTTATATATTGTTTGGTTAGCTAGAAAATATGAAAAAAGAAACTCTGTTTGTTTGGTTGAGGGGAAAATGGATTATAAGGGAATGAAATTGGGATTTTATATTCAACTATAAGGAAATCGAAATTAATATCGAAAATTTATGGTATCATAGAAACTAAGTTCTGTTAATTTCAGTTGAATTGAAAATTTCATTGCACTTTTCAATGAATGAAAATAGTGTGTTTTCTTTTTTCCCTGCTTTTCAAGTGGATGCGGTGAAGGAAATGTTTATTTTTTTGGGCAAATTACATTTTAAAGTACTTGTAGTTTAGGGTTGATGCATAAAAAGACCTAAAATTTTAAATGTGCATACGTGTAAATAAGGACATAAAGTTTGTAGTGGGTAACATTTAAAGTTAAACGAAAATATCTTAAATATTTTTATTTTTTATTCTTTTTATTATTTTAAATTAGAAGTTTTTGAAAAAATATCAAATAATTATTTTCACCAAGTGCAAACTTTAAGTATTTATGTGCATGCACTTTTTGATATTACAGGTCTTCATCTACCCATCACAAATCATAAGTATATTATATGCAGATTCTAAAATTTTAAGTCTTTATATGCAATTATCTCAAACCACAAGTAGCTTAAATTGCAGTTTTTTCCCTTTTTTTTTTGCAAACAAAAAAAGTAGAGTGTTGTTTACCCGGTCTTCACTTCACTCAATCTTTGATGAGGGACCGTTCAATTCACTTAACCGTTGATGAAGGGCAGCTCTCTAATGGTGGGAACCTACCCCTTCATCAATAGTCAACTGTTTTAACATCATTCTGGTTTGTAAATTTCTTCTTTCTATTGTAGTAGGTTCAATTGTGCTGGCTCGTGACTTGACTTTTCCTTAAATTATAATGTTCTGATTTCAACTCATTAGTGATTGCCTTTTCAATTTCAACAATGCACTCTTTACATATGGGTCCGCCTGGACGGGATTTGTTGTCTTCTTTCAATGCACGGAATAATCCGTATTAAAAAGGACATTAGAATAGTTCGGTATCTCTTACAATGCACTTAAAGCTTTCCAATTTTACATTAATATATTGTTCAGTCTCTGTATTCTCGCCTTAATTAGCTGCGGAATTGTCTTTCTTTATGATGGTCTTCATTTATTTGTTTTCTTTTTCTCTCCAGTGTCTGGACTTTCTGGAACCACAGAGGAGGCTCAAAGTCAGGTCTCTGTTGGAATGGGGTTGCTTGCAGGGTCAACTGTGATGCTTCTCACGGCAATATGGGGCTCCTGTGTAGTTGTTGGCCGGTGTGATCTTCGTGATTCAGTTGGAGTTGATGGAAAAAATACGAAAGTTGCAGTCGATGGGACGAATACAGAAGGTTTTAGCTTGACTGGTGGGTGACATACTCCAAGACAATCGTAAATCGTAATTAGTTATCTAATAATAGCATCACAGAACATATTAAAGAACTATCAGTGAAACTTAGACTAAAACTTGAGAATTGTTTTTAATGGGGAAATAAAGAAGGATTGGTGGCATTTTCATATTTACTTGTGAAGTGGCAAGGCTTATTACATAGCTTCAGGAGGAGTCTGATATCCACTGACAGGTAACTCTCCGCTATCAAAGGTGAAAAGGAGATACATAGTCACAGATGCCTGATCCAATTTGGTTCCTTTGTTCTTGAATTAGTGAAGACATTAATTGATTAAATTCTATGGACAGATCCCTGATCAAAAAGCTTGTTCAATTCATTGTAGGTACTGGTGTCAGTACTGACATTTGGACATGCTATGCTGCGTGGATAATGGCTATATCTGTTATACCATTTATTGTTGTTCAATTACCGCAAATATTCAGTTCAACTTCGGGAAGACATTTAGCTATCTTGATTGCACTTATTTTATCCATCTTAATGCTGGTTGCTTATTGTCTTTATCAGGTAATTTTAGATTTTAAGCAATAATTTACCATCGTGCATTACCATGAACATTATTTTTTTCTAATTAATTGAACAATTCATTAGATTGCCTCTTAGTAATTTATTTATATATTAGCCTTATCAAATATATGTGGATAATGATTGATACACCTCTAGTTCAACACATCCCATAACACCTATACCAGTCTAACCATTAAAATCTGTGGCTTTTAGTTTTTCCACCATTACTTCAAAT